TTTGCACAGACTTTTCTGATACAGCCAAAGCTATCTAATACTGCTAGCCTTTATGGGTTATGGATTGTGGCTCATCAATGAAGTCCTTTGCTAAATCCTTCCTCAGCAAGAAGATTCTGCTAGAGAAAGTGAGAAGAAATGGCCATCTCTGGGCACTGGCTGGAGAAAGCTCAGAAATGAAAGGGAAGTCCCCAGTGAGAGGATGAAGGAATGGGGAAATTGGCATGAGGACCAGACCAGAACAGGGAGAGGGACAGGAGTGGCAGACCACCTTTCACCACTGAGTCTGCCAGAACGCCTGAGAGAATCATTCCGGAATGGGAAAGATGTATTTCAGCTCAGTTTCAAAACTTTCACTCTGTGGTGAGCACACCTGACTCTCTCATGGTGGTCAGGAAGCAGAGAGAAGTAATCAGAAAGGACCAGAGCCTAGATCCACCCTTCAAAGAGCCTAGATCCACCCTTCAAAGTCAGCCCACCCACCTCACTTAGACTCCAACTCCAGGGCTCCACTGGCTCACAAGTCTAGAAAGTCTCCACTCATCAGCAGACACATCCACGAATGAAGGCAGAGGAAGACTCAGGCACTAAAGACGGGATACACTAGGGACCAAGCCTTCAGCACCTGCATCTTCCAGGAGACTTCACAGCCAAACCATAGCAACAAGCCAGCCAGTCATGAAGGGGTGTCTCTGCTCCAGAGCACACCACAGTACAGCTTTGCTGTCAAACGCTATTGGCCTAGCAGCTTACCTCTTCAGATTCCAACATCACCTTTTGGTTCATGATCAGATGCCTGAGCCAGGCAGGGAGCTACGTGGATGGAAGGATGGAAGGATGGAAGGCGGGCTCAGTATCCTGACATCAAAGAGCTGTCTCTTCCCCAACACTGCCCAGGGACCAAGGCCAGCCCAGCAGGAGTAAAGAAGTAATGCAGATGCTTCCTCTTAAGGCACAAGCTGGATTTGCCCGTAGGAAATCCCAAGAGGGTCCATATCTTTTTTTTTTTTAACTCCGTTCAATCTCAGCCAAATGGCTTATGAATTCTTCCATCCACAAGCTCACATTCCTTTTCAAATTAACTTAAAAGTCTGTTCTAAGAAGCTGATGCCCAGTTATATAAATAACAATCTGAAGATGAGAGGCTAGAATAGGAAGCTGTATGTCAGGATATTCCACATCTGTCTGACCAATGAGATGAAAACCACCAAACAGAGGAGCTCAGAACATAATGTAGGGCTTGAGTCAGACTTCTATAGTAGTACAAGGACAGACACCACGAACTACAGAAATAACTTCCAGCAGTAGCAGGCACACTGAGCTGCCCGGGCCTGGCTGTGCTCTGTGCTGAGCAGCTCAGTGAGCATCTGGGAAACTGTCTTTGGTGGGCGTTTGGCCTAATGCATTTCCTTCCAACATGCCCAGAGGCTGAATTCATCAGTCAGTACAGACATTGTTAACGTGCAATGTGAGCCCAATAGAACAGTCAAAAGAACAGGCACACCACTGAAATATGAGAAAGGGTGAGTAAAATCTCTAATTGACACATTTACAAGTGAGTGGCATCATTAGCGCTCACTAAGGAAAACTGTCATCCCAAACTCATGCCTGTAATCGCAGCTACTCAGGAAGCTGGGATCACACATAGGAAAGTCTATGAGATTCTTATCTCCAAAAAGCAGGAAATGGGGGTGTGGCTCAAGTGGTAGAGTGTCAGGCTTCAGGGACAAAAACTCAGGGACAGCACCCAAGACCTGATTTCAAGCTCTACTACTAGCACCAACAAACACAACCCTCATCATTCTTGAAGGTGTCATCTTTTAATGTTAGACCTTTCCAGAAGGTTCTAGTTAAGGAGGAGAATCAGAAACCCCATCATCCTATCTTTCTGTGAGCTGCTCAGGCATTTTATAGAAATCACCCTCTGTCAGGATTCTGACATATAATAATGATTTCATTTAGCTACTCTGAAATGAGGATTCTACCAAATAAGCAGGCATAGCAAGCTGATTTCTTTATTTGAAAATACATGGGCAGGGCAGTTAGGGTAAGTTCTGGGGTGCAGATTTAACCTTTGTCGGGGTGCTCAGAGGTCTGTGTAGTACTCAATGATCTTTCTAACTCAGAATCCATGCTCTTGCCTGGGAGATGGTAAAACTGAATTCTCTCTCTGTGGACTTTTTTCTTTTGACAATGGCGCCCTCTGGTGTCCACACACATTATAGCTGGTTAAGACACTGGTGGTTGGTTGCTGTTAGCTAGCTAAGCAACTGATTTTTCTGACATTAAAAATTTAATAATTGGCTAATTTAATAAGAACTAAATCAACATTTGAGTCCATATGAATATCCAGCTTCGGCCTCTCTCATGGCTGCATGTGCAGCCAACTCTAAGAACAAAACTCCATGGCGTACCTTCCCCACCTCCCATCCTCACCAGACAGAGAAGCTGGTGGCTCACACCTGTCATTCCAGCTACTCAGGGGGCTGAGATCTGAGGATCACAGTTCAAAGCTAGCCCAGGTGAGAAAGTCCATGAGATTCTTAGCTACAATTAAGCACCAAAAAGCCAGAAGTAGAGCTGTAGCTCAAGTGGTAGAGCACCCGCAGGCATTGAATGAAAAGCTTGAGGACAGCGCTCAGCCTCTTTGATCTCAGCCTCCTGAGTAGCTGGGATGACAGGTATGAGCTACCTATGCCCGGCATCCTCCTGTATTTTTAATGGAGTGAAAATGATCTACATAGTTTGTCTGCTGTGGTTTCATATTTGCAAGTTATTCTCCAAGACAGAAAAATACTGTGCTTAGAAACCAAATTCCACCTCTGCTGGACAGACAATAGTGAATGAAGTATTTCCAAACCCAGGGAGGTTTGAAGTTGCTCACACAAAGGACCATACAGCGAAGACCTGGTTCAGGCCTGCCATTCCCAAACCCTCTGTCCATACCGACAGTGTGTGCTCATGACGAGCAAGAGCCCGAATACATCTAGCCCAACACTACTGGAAACAAGCAACCCACAGTGGAGCCCAAGGCCTGTGACCCCTGAAAGTATGCAGCGATCACCTAGCACTCTGGAAGTCTGGCTGCCATGTCTTGTGGAAGAAATCCAGCCCACGGGTCAGATTTGCTAAGGGCTTATCAATTTGGTTTATCTTTTCAAAGAACCAACTTTTTGTTTTGTTAATTCTTTGTATAGTTCCTTGAGTCTCCATTTTTTTAAATTTCTGATCTAATCCTTATCATTTCTTTCTGTCTACTGGTTTGGCAGTTGTCTTGTTATTTTTCTTTGAGATTGAGGTGCAGCATCAGAGTATTGATTTGCAATTTCTCTAATTTGTTGATGGAGACGCTGCTTGTGGCTATAAGCTTTCTTCTTAGCACTGCCTTTAAGGACACATATTTTCTACTCGGTGGCAGTCAGGTCAAGTTTATAAACAGGAGTGTAAACACGCAGGGTCACAGTACAAATGTACTGACCAAAGCCTGCTACGTTCAGGAGAGGATTTCTCTGAACAACAAACCTGCGGTCTAACAACATGCTGGTAGGAGAGGGGACCCCTGGGAAGAGGGTAGGTGAATGGAGAGAAAGGACGGAGGAATGCAGTCGTTAATATAGTCAATGTGAGATGTTCATGTGAACGTGGGACCAGGTTCCCTCCACGGGAGGGGCTGGGTGGAGTTGCTAGACGTGGGGAGAATGACAGGAAGGGTGGCACTGATCAAGGTGCACTATACTCCCAAAATGATGTGTCACCTTCAAACCTCTCTGTACAACCACTTAAAGATCATCTTAAAAGACAAGAAGTCCAGTCCTGTCTGTGACTTTCCCTGGAGTGAACTGTAGCTGTGAAAGCTGGGTAACTCTGTAAGCCAGGTGGTGGGGGCGGAGCTAGGCCTGGGTGGGGCCTGGCTCTGGCCCCACCCCTGGGGTGGGGCAGCTTCCTAATTAGGAAATGCTGCACTGGGGAGCACAAGGCTGGGCCCACTGAGGCCAGTTTACTGGGCTGTCTCACAACGAAGTCTGGTTCTGATATCTGAGGGACAGCGTGTGTGTCGTCGCTGGGAGCTGCGACAGCTGTGGTCTCAGCTGTTTTTCAGCATTTAATGCGTTTATCTTCCTGCAAACCACATTGTTATTGAGTCATTCTGTTAAACAAGTACCCAGTGTGAGGCTGGCATCTGCACAGCCCACGTGCAAAGAAAGCCAGGCCTCCCTCCTCGTGATCCTGTGTCCTTCCAGGTCAAAACAAATGCTGTCCCTCCCTTCTGTGTTGAAAGAGATTCCTACTCAACTGTAAGCATCCAGGAAAATAAATGGGCGCAGGGGAGACAGGGGAGGTTAATCTGACCCCAGTACAATGCAAGCATGTAAATGCCACTGTGAAACCCCTGCAGACCCTCTGCTGATAAAAAAAATAGCTGAGTGAGGACATGCCCAATGAGATGCCTTCTCCCTACTCGATACCGCTTTAAAAATATGTGGGAAATAAAGTAAAATAACTCTTCAAAAAACTTAAAGTTACTATGCTTTTAATACCATTGAGTATTGCTACTACATGCAAAAGCTGGAGCATCAGCCAGGCACTGGTGGCTTACGCCTGTAGTCCTAACAACTCAGGAGGTTGAGATCTGAGGATTGTAGTTCAAAGCCAGCCTTAGGCTGACAAATCTAAAAGACTCTTATCCCCAATTAATACCAAAAGTCAGAAATGGAGGCAAGGCTCAAGCAGTGATGTACCAGTGTTGAACAAAAAATGCTAAGTCAGAGAGGGAAGGCTCTGAGTCCAAGACCCAGTACTGGCACAAATAAACAAATAAATAGAGTGTCGGTTCACCTGGAAGTACTGTGGCCTCTGAGAATCAAAGCTGCCAGTTAGACTACTAACATTGTTACCAATTAATTTTACAAATCACATGCATCACTGCTTTAAACTGGTAAGCACCAGGAGAGGGGGCCAGCCCTGAGCGTCAGGGGACGATGCTGTTTGACTCTTCACAGAAATTGTTCGAGCCATGACACATGTGATCAACCAAGGCATGGCCATGTACTGGGGCACCTCGCGGTGGAGCGCAATGGAGATCATGGTACGTTCGCCCCTTCCTGGCTCCTTCACAGCCTCTCCTACAAGCTACCCAGTGAGCCCCGGAGGCACATTTCTAGAGCTTCTGAAAACCTTTCTCCCAATCACTACAGAACTGAAATTCTAGAATCGATTGTGTCATTAAAGAGATGGCTGGTCAGGTGTCAGTGTCTCAGTCCTGTCATCCAAGCTACTTAGGAGGCTGAGATCTGAGAATCCTGGTTCAAAGTCAGCTCAGGCAGATGGATCCAAGACTCTTCTCTCAGACTGACCAGCAAGAAGCTAGACATGGAGCTGTGACTCAAGTGGTAGAATTAAAGCACCTAAGCAAGAACTTGAGACCCTGGATCCAGGGCCCGGTACCTGCATGAGAAAGAGATAAGAGAGAGAGAGAGACAGAGACAGAGAGCAGCTCAGGATACATCAGGCAGAGCTGTGACTGACTGCATGTTCTTTGGTGGTAGGGTGACAGTTTACAGTTAGTAGACAGAGGGGCAGAGTATTCTAGTTTTCTTGTAAGAACTGTGTTACTGAATAACCCTTCTGTTTAGAACCCATTTAAATACCAACCACTTGTATATGCTAGTCTAAGTTTTATTTCTTTAGGAACAAAAAAATAATAATCAAATCATATTTTCCTTCTAATAACTGACAGTTCACATGTGGACAAATTTTCCCTGGCCTGACTCAATCCAAGCCTTGACCCAGAACAAAGACGTCCCCATGAGGGGAGGAGTGAAATGGCCCAGGTCTCACTTGTTACCCGGCTCCCTGCGTGCTATGGGCTCCAGTCTCTTTACTGACCGCCATCTTGCATGTGAAAGAGTGAACAGGCCTACTGTGCTCACCCGTACCAACCTCCCACCCCACCCTGGGGTCTCATCTCTCCCTAGGAAGCCTACTCGGTGGCCAGGCAGTTCAACATGATCCCGCCCGTCTGCGAACAAGCGGAGTACCACCTCTTCCAGAGAGAAAAGGTGGAGGTGCAGCTGCCGGAGCTCTACCACAAAATAGGTAATCCTCTAAGCACGGTTCCTCTGATCATGCCTCCTGATGCGTCCTAACTACAGGAGCACCGGGAACATACTTCTTCACAGTCCCTAACTGATACAAGGGTCATGTCTTGGGTTCCAAAACTGCCTGTGTAGTGAAAGGGGCGCCCAGTGGTCACAGGTGCAAGCATCTTTTGGTGGGCCTTGTAAAGCCTCCCCACAAAGCCATGGACATACACTTATACCAAAGCAATTTCCAGAATAACTTCCTTCTGAAAGCACGGCAGGGAGACGCTGGATAAAATCAGAACAGATACCAACACCAAGACAACAGGATGACCATGGATGACTTCTGTCACACACTGAGTGTTTATGAGGCATGGCTTTCCTCTATCGGCCAGTGCTGCTTGGGAAGCACAGAGTTATTTTGCCAGAGGAAGTGTTTCTCTCTGGGTCTAGGGAGTGCATACATTCCAAGAGCAGGGCTAGATGGGCACTGTGTCTTGTTCTTGTAATCCCAGCTACTCAGGAGACTGAGATCCAGACGATAGCAGTTTATAGCCAGCCCAGGCAGAAAAGTTCTCAGACTCCATCTCCAAATTAACCAGCAAAAAGCAAGTCTGGAAGTGTGGTTCAAATGGTAGAACATCAGCCTGGTTGGCATGAGGCCCTGAATATAAACCCCAGTACTATAGAAATAGAACAAAATAGAAAATAAAAACCATCATGGCTGCGTGACATTCCCATGCTCGTTTCCCCAGCTCAGTCCCAAGAACTGACCATCGCAGGCGTAACTGGCTCAGGAAGGACTTCTAGAATGTACCAGCTAGCTGTGTCACTCGCCCAGAGACCAGCCAGCTTTCCCCTGTCACTCGCCCAGTTCTAACCCAACACCTCGTCACTCTGAATGCTCCCTGGCCGAGCAGCATTTTCACTGTATTGTGTTTTGTTCCCTCCTCGCAGGGGTTGGGGCGGTAACCTGGTCTCCTCTAGCCTGTGGAATCATCTCTGGAAAGTATGGGAACGGGGTGCCTGAAAGTTCCAGGGCTTCACTGAAGGTATTTCCCCCGCCACTTCTAGAAAATACTCCGGGTCTGGAGGGGGGAGGAGACTGATTCGTGGTGTGGCACAGCCTGGACCTCCTGCGCCAGGCACACTATGATCTTGGCTGCTGGTAATTGTGGCCCCGAGGCCCTCTGAGGGGCTTTGCTCCCTGTCAGGCCACTGCCAGCCCTGTCCAATGGGCTTGAGCAGAACACCACCCTCCGGCTGCCTCCTTCCACCCCCTCCCTGCTCCTGGGGAGGTGGTGATGTGCTTGGTGCACTGGATAGGTCTGCCCAGCCCAGACCCGAGGTGCTACGTATCCTCATTTTGAAGCGATTGCTTCCTTGCTTGATCCTTTCCCATATAAGTGGATTTCATTGCAAAACCTGAGCCAGTACGGCAGCCCAACTTGGCTGGGGTTGACTGACACCTCCACTGTGGTGGGAGGGAGAGGGGTGGAGTGGAAGGCCCATGCATGGACACCTGCCATTGGCTCTGTCATTGGCTTTGGTTGAGTCTTGGGACATAAATTGTGAATTCTCTGATCCTCTTGAGGATTCTGAATCCTCACACTTTCCAAGCTCATCGGAACAAAATTTCCTCCACTCAGGACATCTTGATTCACTTATTACAGAGTACTCCAAACATTTTTTTTTCTTATGCGTAAGAACATGTCTGTTTTAAAACAAACAGAATAACCAAAAAGCTGGAGAGAGTGTATAATAACAATAGAATCACAAATTACTCTGCAAATGTAGAGGGAGAGAGAATACAGGCATCTTAAAACTTCAGACCAGACAAAGTCTTCCTAAGAGGAAACAGATGCTGAGCCAGCTCCCAGTCCATGAGTGCTCAGCAGAAGAGCCAAACCAGCTGGCCCTGCCGGCAGTACAGCTGGGAACACCTCTGCCTGTCCCCTGTCTGTCCCCATCACAGCCCGCCTGGACTCTGCATCACTCTCTTTCCTTCCACTGGGGAGACCTGGACTTTTGGCTTGCTTGTTCTCTAAAATAACGCAATATAAATACCCCCTGAAGCATGCTGACCCGACCCCGTTCCTGGTTCTGGACAACTGGAAAGGACACTTACCCCAGATTATGAAGATCTTGTTCCTGAAAATTAAAGACTGTTCTGAACAAATCTAAATGAGTCAGCCAAGAAAAAGTAATAGTGTCTTAGGATGCATATAAAAGAGGAAAGCAAGAAGACAGGGATGCATGGCGAATTCTGGTTTCACTAAACATCTACTACCACTAAGCAGTGCCGAGCACCAGGCTAAGAGTTTTCCTTTATTTCCCTGTTTCCCCACAAAGAGAAATGCCTGCAGACGGCGGCTGTAGCTAAGCTGCTGCACATGCTTCTCAGCTCACAACAGGGTCCGGCCCAAACCAACCCACAGTAAGTCAGAACATCCAAATAGAAAATGCAGTTAATATATCTCACCTACTGAATATGATAGCATGCCCTAGCCTACCTTAAATACACTGAAAATTGTGCATTTGCCTACTGTTGGTTATTTATTTGTCTATCAACTACTGGGGTGAAAATGGAAAACACAAAACTGTATGGGAAAAAAATCATCTATCATCCAGACACTGTGGCTCACATCTGTAATCCTAGCTACTCAGGAGGCTGAAATACGAAGATCACGGTTTGAAGCAAGCCCAGTCAAGAAAAATCCATGAGATCCTTATCTCCAACTAACCAGCAAAAAAGCCAGAAGTAGAGCTGTGACTCACGCAGTCTAGCACCAGTTCTAAGCAGAAAAAGCCCAACAAAAGCTCAGACTCTTGAGTTCAAGCCTTAATACAGACAGACAGACAAACAGACAGACAGACACACACACACACACACACACACATGTACGTGCACACACACAAATCCTATGGGAACCATTGTAAGTGGGGACCATCTGTATATCGTTATAGGCTTTCTGAAAAAACTCCAAGTACTTCCAACTGTGTGGGGTGTTGTTCTTAGTTTAATCTGACCTGAGGGAAGGCCTTTGCCACAGGCAGAAACTGAAGCAGACATCAGCATTGTCAATTCCAGACCAGAAACTCCTCACAGACAGGCTGGTGTGGCACCTGGCTCTCCTGGCTCTAGTAATCACTTCCAGGAAGTCTTAGTCTCTCTTCACATCCAGGCTTTGGTGCAGTGACACTGTACTCAGGCATGTGCATGGAGCTGCATCACTGCTGGGAGGATGCTGGCAGATGCCTGGAGCTTTCCTCATGCACACACATGGAACTCTCGAAGACAGCCAAACCCCAGAGCTATGGCTGCCGGTGTGCAAGCCACTCCTCAGCTCTGGGAGTCTCCACAAGAGCCCTGCGGCTGCCCACAGTTGCTCTAGAGCTCCGCCATCTGCAGTCATCAGTTGCGTGTGTTCAGATGGAAGAATGCACACAGCCACCAGAGCACATGTACTGAGAATAATTGAGAAGGAAGCAGAGATCAGAGGCTTGGCCTGAGATGTTAACAGCGTTATAAGGACTGTAGAGATTAGTGAACCTAACTGCAAAAAATCAAAAACATGGATCAAGTGGTAGAATGCCTGCCTGGCAAGTATTAGGCCCTGAGTTCAAATTCCAGCACTACTTAGTAAACACAGCAAACAAAAAGGTGACAGCTAAAGGATTGAGGGTTTCAAGAGAGAAGGATTCAGTAAATGAGTATTTGAGGTCTGTTACTTTAGTGTGCATCTCACTCACACACTCACACACACAGAGACAGACAGACAGACACACACACACACACACACACACACACACCTTGTAACCCAATCCTAAGAATGCATTACATATAGGATTTTAAAACAAAGGCATTCAACAAGATTGATATATAAGCAAGACATTTTTCTGTGTTCAGGGTACACACCGAAACCTCAGGATCTCTCCTAGCTACAAAGCAGTTGTCAAGAGCAATTGTTAGTTTCCCCCTCTTCCTCTCAGCGTGGATCACATTCAGAGATCTTGGACCCCTGGAAGAGGTTACAAAACTCGAGCAGAGATGATGCTGTTTTTTTCCCCACAAAGGACAGAATCACTTCCGGGCACTGCCTAGGTCAACGCCTGGTCCCTGAAGATTAGCAGGAATGTTCCTAACTGTCCACCCAGTCCCACTGGCCCAGGCTCTGCTCCCTCCACAGTGTATGCCCAGCCGGGTAGCCCTGGTGTAGCTGTCTCCTCCAGCACAGTCTCTCACAGGGAGCGGACCGCAAGCCCATGAGTGAGCTCCAGGAGGCCAAGAGAGCCGGGGCGCCTCGCCCTTCTCCTTTCACATCTGCAAAAGTCCTCCAAAAATCACAAGTACACAGAATGCAGTCATGCTTTCCTTTGGAAATTCTCTCTTAGGAAATGAAAATAATATGTAAGAAACAAAAGCCAGTAGCACATTGAACTGTGGCCTGTGCCTGGGCAGAATGCAGACTTCAGAGCTTTCCTTAGCTTGGGACAATCCTCGGGGCAGTCGTCACCAGAGGAAGTCCCTGAGGCCAGGGAGTGGCACGCTTGGCTTATTACCCTCACAGAAACAAGCTAACATCTTATTCTCCCAGGCTAGCTCTGTACGTGTTCCTCAGTAAGAGCAGGTCATCTGGGAAGTAGGGCACTGCAAAGGTCTGACATTTTTTTTGATTTCCATCTCTGAAACCTGGCTTACTTTGGAGTCCACAGATCAGGGCCAGTCTCTTCCCAGAGGTTTTAAGGAATATTTCCTGTCCTGAGCTTTTTACTTGTTAAGTTCCAGGAGCTAAACAATAGGCAATACACACTCAGGAGAATGTTTATCTAACTTAAGAAATGTGCTTAGAATCTGTACCGGTATCAAGCTGCACCTGCACCATCTGCTCTTCGGGAGAAGCCAAAGGAGCAGAGTTAATGTGAGGAACACAGAGTCATGCCGATGGAAGGCAAGAGATACTTGAGGATGGGAGACAATGGGTTTCTTTGAGCTGAACACTTGGTACTGGGCCTTCTTAACAAAAAGGAAGGAAACATAATAGATCTTGTCAAAATGCAGAATCTTCGTGCTCTTTATCTGTATCTATTTGCTAAAACTGGGCTATCCAGAGAGAAGTGTCTCTCCCATTGTCTCTGCCCCTGGGTAGAGGAGGGTCTCACATGCCAGCCTTGGGAATCTGAGGATACTTGTGCCCATGTACCAATGTGAATAGTGAATATAAGTCAGAATCAGTCTGCTTTGAGCCCTAAGCAAAGAGCAAGATTGCTCACACAGTCTTGGACCAAGACAAGCATCCCATCCCCGCAGAACCAAGGGAAGCGTGGAGAAGATTTGGAAATTCACCATCTTGACCTCCCACCCCTCACCAGACATTAACAGTCAGTGTCTGTTCCTATCCGTAGTGCTACCAGTGGTTGAAGGAGAGAATCGTCAGCGAGGAAGGGCGGAAGCAGCAAAACAAGCTCAAAGACCTTTCCCCCATTGCGGAGCGTCTGGGGTGCACACTGCCTCAGCTAGCTGTGGGTAAGAACACTCATTATGGAGGGCGGGAGTACTTCTGCTGAGGTCAGAGGAAATGCAGCTGCCCATTGTCAGTCCACACACCTGTCATGGGAAAATGTCAGCTATCAGACTGATGTCACAAGTGCAAGTTTCTGGTAAATACGTTATTTAAGATTGCCCAGTATGTTCCATCTATGGAAACATTTTTACTCTCCTTCCCCACTCCCTTATAACACAACATGAAAACACATCAAAACACACAAGACTCCTGCAGCACTGGAGGCCAACTGCACAGTGGCCCTGTTTCCTTCTGGCCAGGTTTCTACCCACTGAGGAGATGTGAGCTCAGGGACTCCAGCTTGCAAGGCTGTCATGATGCTTCTGAGCCAGGCCACCCGCCCTGCTTTTCACTGGGTCTCTTGAAGGCGAGGGGGCTCACTTGTGCCTGACCTGTCATCTGAGCAGGCTTCCTTCCTGTTAAGATGGCGGTGTTTTCTGCCTGGGCTAACCTTAGAACTCAGGCCTCTGATCTCAGCTTCCCACATCGGCTAGGTGTGTGACACAGTGCCCAACTATGGGTTGAGAACTTTTAGGTCCAGGCTGGCCTTGAACTACATACACCCCATTCTTAACCTTCCAAGTGAATGGGGTAACAGGTGTGAGCCAGGAGCGCCCAGCTGCTGCTCAGCTTTTAAAATCTTGAGATTACTGTGTCCTCTACACAAAATAAGGTCCTGAGGTTTGGCTGCAGCCAAGAGCTGTAGACACTGTGGACACACTCAAAAACAAAGTGCCTGGCACCCTGACCGAGTCTGTGGCTCCCTGTGTCCATGGCTCCTGACCAGTATCCATGGCTCCCTGACCCTGTCCATGGGTCCTGACTGGTGTCCATGGCTCCCTGACCAGTGTCCGTGGCTCTCTGTGCCCATGGCTCCCTGACCTGTGTCCATGGTTCTCTAACAGTGTCCGTGGGTCCCTGACCATGTCCATGGCTCCCTGACCGGTGTCCGTGGCTCTGTGTCCGTGGTTCCCTGACCGTGTCCATGGTTCCCTGACCGTGTCCATGGGTCCCTGACCCTGTCTGTGGCTCCCTGACCCTGTCCATGGCTCCTTGACCTTGTCTGTGGCTCCCTGACCTTGTCTGTGACTCCCTTACTGTGTCTGTGGCTCCCTGACCTTGTCTGTGGCTCCCTGATCTTGTCCGTGGCTCCCTAACTCTGTCTGTGGTTCCTTGACCTTGTCTGTGGCTCCCTTACCGTGTCCGTGGTTCCCTGACCATGTCCGTGGCTCCCTGACCTTGTCCGTGGTTCCCTGACTATGTCTGTGGCTCCCTGACCTTGTCTGTGACTCCCTGACCCTGTCTGGGTCCCCTTGACCTTGTCCGTGGCTCCTGACCAGCATGCTTCCCTCTTCACAGCATGGTGTCTGCGAAATGAGGGTGTGAGTTCCGTGCTCCTGGGGTCATCCACTCCTGAGCAACTCATCGAAAACCTCGGTGCCATCCAGGCAAGTACCCTGGCCCCTCGCAGCAAAGTCCAGGGAAGAGCACAGTGTCCTGGAAGGTCCTGGGCAGCGAGCGTCCTAGGGGGGAGGAGTGGGAAGCAACAATGTCATCAAAGCCCAAGCCTCCAGGCAGGGCTGTCTACTGCAGACTGACAAAAGTGATCCCTGGCCCTGGCGCTTCCTCCTGGGTCTGGGTTGTGCAGGAAGTGACCCCTAGGCCTACTCATAGCATGCTGATGCACCAGTGTGAAATGTGCCACACAAGACAGAGCACATGCATCACGCATTGCCTCCTTCACACTCATGCTAACCTGCTGGCACCGAGCCCCCTTGCTCGTCTGCCAGCCTCCTGTGACATTCTCCCCATGGCCCGCCACATAACAAATAGGCTGCACCTGCTGTCCCTCCCTTTCCCCTCAACTGTGAGCCCCAAAGGTGGGAGATGGGTGTCTTTCTCACCTTCCCAACTCCTAGAGAGAGAGATGAACCTTAGTTATGACTTCAGACACCCACCCCTGGGGCTTCCCACTGAGCATGACGCCTGTGGGCAGGAGGCCACACAGCACCATATAGTCTGCGGAGGCAGGAGGGATGGGTGTGAGGAGGGTGCTCCCGGGGTGGGGCTGGAGCTGCTGTGACCGAGCCTGCCCGCTGCTCCCGCCCTCACAGGGTGCATTCCCCCTGCTCACTGGGGAGCAGAACTGTCTCCCCTACCCACCTGTCCCCTCAAACAAGCCTACGGATGACAGACAGAGCTGCAGGACAACCTGGTTAAACTTAGCATCTAACCCTTGAAAAGCAGCCCAGGAGATGCTGGGGGTGAACAGGGAGACTGCCGGCTGACTCGCTCCACCCAGGCTCTGTGCTTCCTCTGGGGTTCTGTGTCCCTGTGCCCACATGGGATGTACACTCTAGGAGCGACCTACCTTCTCCCCAGCCTCATTATGTCTCCATTATGTCCTCACAACGCGAGGAGTAAGGGGGCAAACCACGGAGAGAAAGAATGAACCGAGAGATCTTCCCCATTAACTCACCGGGCCTTCCGTGTACCCCACACTGCCGACAACACAGCACACAGGAAACCCATTTCCACAAGCTTTTATCCCAAAAGACACACACACACACACATTGTCACCTAGAACCCTCATCTGTAGTCACCACAAACCATTCCCGCCCCAGAGGTCAAGTGTTCCATTCTCTGACCACCATAGCCACAGCGCACCAACACCCGATTCGTCCCCTAGATTCAGATCTCCAGCTTCTCCCTGCGAGGCCTTCCCTGACAGGTCACCCCAGCAACAGCAGCCAGACCCCTGACCCTGGGCATCGTCAGATCTCAGCCCCCCAATGGCTAGGACTGATGATGTATCTAAGCCATGGTGCCAGCCTGAGCATGTTTGAACATTCACATCTCTCTGAACTGTATTTTGGTGTCATGAGGACTGTTTTCTCCTCATGTAGCTAGCCCATTGCACTTCAGACAAAATTTCCAACCAACCCCATTCCTGAGGCTCAGCCTCAGTATGGCAATCTCTTTCCCAACACCACAGATGTCTAGACGTCAGAGCTGGCGGGAGCCACTGCCTTTGTTAAAGGTAGCCCAATGTTAGGCAGAACCAGAGCCTCCTGAGCTGAGCAGCCACACCCTAGGGCTTCTGAGCTTTCGTGTGAGGGCAAAGTCACCTTGGCCGGCTGGGTGGCAGCCCAGGAAGGGTGAGACCAGCCCAGTCAGACCTCCCCTCACCAGCCTGCACTGGGTCAAAGGGCTCCGCTGTCTGCCTTTGTTCCTCAAGCCAAATGCGGGCTCTCATTGCTCGCTGGTCATGGATGAGGGGCTGGCCAGCCCCTTCAGAGCCTCCACAAGCAGGTCCACACCACCAGCCTCCGTGTCCGAAGCCCCACTGCCAATGAGTCATTTCTCCAGACACCCCATGCCAACAAGCCGCCATCTCACTCCACTTGCTCCCCAAACTCCTCCTTTTCTTTCCAGATCAGCAATCCACACCATGTTTCTTCTACCCAGCCCTGAGACTGCCTGGGCCTCTCTCCGGCTCAGCCACTCTCTGTCCACACCAGTCACGGGCCTTGGCAGGGCGCAGATCATGTGGGCATCATCTGACACGTGCCCCTCCCCGACCTACATCACATGCTCCCCCCTCAGTCTCCACAGGGCCGCTTAGTAAAGAATGAAGTGTCCAGTACCTGGTGCTGCACATACCCGCTCTGTCTCACATGGCCACCACATGTCCTTGTGAGTCAGGCCACCTGGGAGGCCTGCTTCCCAACACAAAGTCTCTGGGGCCGCACTTTATGGGCACGTGCCCAGATGTGCAGGTAGGAGTAAAACATTCATGGGAATTGCAGGACTTAGTACCCAAAGCAAAAAACTAATTTCCTATACAGATTTTACCTAAAAGATGCTCTGGATATAATGCAGAAAATGTGAAATCGGCTATGTATGTGGCTCACACTGTCCTTCCCCAACGAGAGCTGTTGTTTAACCCTGAGCTTCTCTATTCAGTCGGGCAGAGGCGTATGGCCTGCAGGGCTTACAGTTCAGAGAAGGACGCCATAGGCAGCACAATGACCATAGTAGCGACCCCTCCTCCATCCTCTCCCCATTCCCAGGTTCTCCCAAAGATGACATCACACGTGGTCACCGAGATTGACAACATCTTACGCAACAAGCCGTACAGCAAGAAGGACTACCGGTCCTAAGGCCCGTGCCTGCCTGCCTGCCCACAGCAGCTTCTCCCTGGGTGGAGAGAGGCGTTCAGCGGCCACTCCCACTCCCCCCCACCCCGCCTTCCCGAGGGTGCGCACGGCCACCACCGGGCGCCCAGACGCCAGCACACCAGGAAATCCACTCTGTTCTCTTCTGTGGACCGCAACCTGCCCTGGCACTGCTCTGCACACCCACGCTCACGCAAGCAGCCGAAAGTGTTGGGAAGGGGGTGCACGTCACCGCGGATGCTCCTTTGCATGACTCAGGGATGCGGACAGTGAACACGCTGGGGGGAATGTCTCCCTTCGGGCATTTGGTAACTTAAAGAGGGCTGTACAGATTTATTTTTTCAAAAGGACAATCTACAGATGCAATAGGAATGGCCTAAGGAAGAGCCGGGTATCTTCACTCAGAAGTCATGCTTAAGGGACTCAAGTTTTTGATTTTTTTTCTTATTTTACATTTAGTGAGTCATACATCGCTTGTCGCTCAGTAGCCCTAAAATTCCCAGGTATTTGCTTTCACTCCCTCTAAACACTTGCTGTTGCTTGGCTCTGTACTACAACTTACCCGGCGTGCCTGCCGAGACTCTAACAGTATTCCATTTCCGTGGAATAAATATCCTCACTCTAATTAAAGACCTGATGGCTCACTTATGAAAGAGAGGGCTATACTGCTATGGACACCTGGCTTTGAATAAAAATGTACCCGCAATTGAGTATTCATTCTTCACAAATTGTATCACAACCGTTTACACTCGGCTTGCAGGCACCTCAAATAGTTCAAATATTTGAGCTTTAAAAATATTCATGTGTTTGTACATAAACCTGTAAAATATCCAGAAAGGCAAACGTTCACTGTTGAACTGGCAGTTTCTGACGTGAACTCGGAAGTCAGTCCGAGGCTCTCTGGGAAAGGCACCGGTGGGCAGCGCCAGCCCCGGAGACGGAGAACACTCCCCTCCTGCAGCACCGCCCTTCGCATGGATGCAGCTGAGCCGGTCTGCTGCGCTAGACCCCAGTTACCATCTAGTCTTGCCTCTTTGGCTATTAACCCTCATTAGTATCCTACCCATAGCAAACTCCAGGAGTGTATTTTGCACAGGTACCTGTGTAAAGGAGACGTCATGCTTCTTCTCTGCGGGGTGGGGAAGTCCTTTGGCTCCGCTTGAACATCTGAGGACGCATGGAATTCTAATTCAGCTATCAGCTCAGCCAGTGCCTCATGTAGCAATCGCTTAAGAGATTTCACGTAGAAGAAATATGCATCTTAAAATGCTATTTTGTCATCATTTCCCAATCTTTCAGGGTTAAGTTCTAAATCTTCTGAAATGTTAGTGGGAACTACAAGTATCTTTTGGACTGCTACAGCCTGTGGTCTAATAGGGAGTTTGGATATCAGATTCACAATGGAAACGGGTTCTTTTTTGTCATCTACCATGTATTTAACTAGTGAGCTGCCCTACGTACACGAGCTGAGGTGCTGCAAAGAGAAATGCAATTTAATTCATTTGCTTAGAGTAATAAAAGCGTTCTGTGCAATCCCATAGGTCTTTATCTCATCTTTGCTTCTAAGGCATCACCTTTCACGCTGTTCTTACACAAAATATTTCATTTTACCATAAAACAAGCAATAATCACCCAGGTAATGCTCACAGCTAAGCTCCACTAAATACTCAGAAACTAATGCTCAGAAACTGCTGAGCAAATAAGGTTGAAGGTGAAATGGCCGCTCAGTCCAGGAATGGCGGCACACTCCTCTAATCCCAGCACTCAGGAAGGAGAGGCAGGAGGAGCCACTTGGCACCCAGCTTGGGCTGCACAGCAGTAACAGGTCTGCTTCTTTCTCACTGGGTTGCAGTGAAGTTAAAGCTTCTCAGTGTCACTTAATCAAATTCAAATATGAACATCATTGCTTGTGGAGAGAAAACACCTTTATATCCAAGTCATATGGAAAGATAAAGCAGGAGGCAGCTCATTTCCAAAGTCCCATACACATTAACTTCTTCTCCTGTTCCAAAGAGCAACCTAGGAGAGGCATCCATCACCATACCTTGACTCGCGCAGGTGACGTGCACACCGGAACCTCTGGCTCGTTTCCACTTCCAGACCTCACAGTGAGGACTGGACCCCAGTCCTGTGGAGAGGGCAGCGTTAAGGAACCTGCGTCTGGCCCAGCGTCTCCCTGCTGAGGACAAGGGTGGGCGAAGCTGCAGGCACCCTGCAAGCGGCCGCCAGGTCTGGAGTCTGCACACCAGGCACTCCAGTCTCCAGCTCCTGTAAGGTTTTTCCTTTATAAGCTTTAGGATTTGGGGGCTTTGTTTTTTTTTTGGCAGAGCTGAGGACCAAACTTGGGGCCTTCCTATGCTAACTTCCCAACCCCCAACAAGTTTTATACAGAATGATGTACAAGTTTTGAGTGAGAACAGCTTAAATGCAGATTCTTAAATCCAGTACCCATACACTGGCTCTGTCCACAGGTACATACAAATGTATGTACCTCCCTTCTTCCTTCACACATGTACACTCTTGCACACGTGTACTCTCATTTGTTTGAACATACCCTCCCTTTATCCTTTGTCTCCAGAAGCTGCAGTACCTGGTGTACACTGGAACAAAAGAAGGGCCAGCAGGACACCAGGCAGGCCGGCCCTGGCGGTCATGCCTACCCATGTGGTCACTGCGCTCTGCTGGCCAATACCTGACGCTTGATCAGAATCTACAAATATGCCCACTGACATGTGTAGGAAATGAAAGCAGTGTGAAATAATGCAATCAAGATGATGTATTCGTTCACATGGTTTATAAACAAGCCCAAGGAAACACACATTTTAAGAAGCAAAGTTTAATTGTTAAGTAAAACTTCATAAGAATTCTGAGTATAAAGGCAACCTCTACATTAGTCACTTCAAACATTGTCTCAAACTGTCCTTGCCATGCAGTACCAACTAAATATACAAAACTCCCCAGCCAGCTTCCCTGTCATGGGGAAAGGCGGGGACACCTTTGAATCTTTTACTTTACTGCTGTTGGGGACCTGGTAGTTTGAAAATAAAAACTTCCGCCATGGGTTTTTCTAGCAAAGTCTGAGTTAGCATATGCGGATTTTCATTCTGCACAGCACCTGTCTCCTTTCTGTCATGAGTCAAGCTCTGCACCGAAGAGCAAGGTAAGGCTACACGCAGTCCTTAGTGCCAACTCCTGCGCTGAGTGTGCACATTCCAAAGGACACAGCCGAAACTCCCGTAGCAGTGGGTGAAGTCAGAAAACATCAGGATCTTAAAAGGAGAGCCATCAGCAACAAGGAAGACAAGCTTTGCACACTGTCTACGAAGTTTTAGGCCAACCACCTTATACCACACCCCAACTGGCTATACCTATGGTCCCCAATGGGGATGGCTCATTCCTACCCACAAACACCACCATCTGGTAGCCATGCTCATCAGCCATTTAAAAGCATTTGACCCTGTTCCTAGTAAGAAAAAGCACCAGCCACACTCAATAGTAAAATCAAATGGGGCAAGGTGTGGGGAAGGCCGGAGGGGGGATGGGGACACACAGCCATGAGCCAGTGGCTTGCACCTGTAATCCTAGCTATTTCAGAGGCTGAGAACGGAAGACCGCAGGCAGGAGGCCAGGCAGGAGGCAGGCAGGCAGGTCAGTGCCCCCTCTCCATGGAGGAAAACTAGACACAGTAATGCGCTATTGTTGTGGGCAACAGAAAGCCTCAGAAAAGCAGGCCACAGGGACATGCTGGGCAGGAAATAAGACCTTAATCCCCAAACACCCAGCTACAGACAGGGGCAGCACAGCTCAGTGGTGAACAACCGCCTAGTGAGCAAGGGATGCTGAGTACTGTCCAAAAAGAGAGGAAAGGACACTAGCTCTACCTTGCAGTCACTCTCTTCTGATTGTCTCCTTCATTATACGCTATTTAGCAATGGCACCTGAACAATAAAGTACCACTGCTTCTAGCGGTGATGAGATGTCATTACAATTTCTGACACTGGAGGTCACTAGACCTACATAAGTCCTCTGTCTTCCTAATTCTTGGATGTAGTCCAACATATCCACCAGCATAAACATGTAATGCTACTTGCAATATTTGTCTTAAATATACAAGTGGAAACTGAAGATTAGGAATATATGTGCCTTTAAGTTATTGTGAGTAGGAAATCACTGGAATGCAAAAGCTAACAGGAATATGAAATTGACATCCTAATTGATGAACAGCTTCCCAAACTTGACCCAGCCATGTTACGTGCAAAAAGCAAGTTATCTACACACACTGGCAAAGCAGCAGAGCTGACCCTGTGAGCCTGCACTTGGCTGTGCTCTGTCTGGTGTTCCCTGAGGACGGGAACCTGTGGGCTAAAGGCCGGAGTCTATCCAAGTCCCCACCGACAACTGCTGACACACAACTCAACCACTGTAAACTCCCTGGTGAGTACTTCACATTCCAGAGCTAAGTTCACAAAAACTACTCTGGTCTTTCCTGTGTCAACACTGAGGAGGGACTGAGGAAGGAGGCTCTTTCTGACTTAATGTCCTGCCAGTGGTGTCAAAACGCCAATCTGGGGAAACAATGATTCCAGTGACTTCACACATCCAGCCAACATGGCAGGGACAGGCTGACCTCCCTGACCACCCAGGACCAAAGCCATTCAGCTGAACAGCATGTGCTCTAACGCCACAGGCCAGCTCTCACAGGCCCACGCACTATTTTTAGGTTACTACCCTGGCTGCCTTTCTTTAAAAAAAAAAAAAAAAAAAGGAAACTTTTCCACAAGTCAGAGAAGCCATATTTTTAAGTCTGAGTTATAACCAATCACAAATTCAGACTTATAAACACAAAGCTTCTGTTCATTCTCTGGGAAGACGATTCATTCTGATATTTATGGTTCAAAAAGTTGCAATATTGTGCTTGGAACACAGAGAACCAGTTATTAACTTCTTGCTGCTATTATAAATAATAACAGCTTAGTCCAGGTTACCGTGACCTCTGACAGATCAAGGAAACAAGTTATTTTCTCTTCTGGTGATTATGGCATATTGCAAGACTTCTTGCCTTTAATAAATGTCCTGATACTCTGTTTCCCTTTCAATTCATTTAATTTCAACAGTCTGTCAAGAGAGCCAATAAACAAATACTCAATTACATTCTGCTGTGTTTTTAAGCCTCCCAACTGCACACCATAAAAACATCTTGTGTGCCTCCTGCCCAGACCCCAGGCTGCTGGCACACCGGACCACCCAGGGACATGAGCCAGGGCGTGGCTGGCGGTCTACTTGGAGCCGGTCGACAGGAGGGCGATGAGTCCTGAGGAAGCACTGATGGACAAGATGTAGTTCCTGTAAGGATTTCACGTTAAGGAAATCAACTGGCTGTGTCTCCCTCAGCCATGAGCACTCATCGCGAATGGTGGCTCCCAGTCTGCAAACACAATGACAAGTACTTGGGGCAATGTGTTCCAACCTTTTTTTTCTCATCTGAGATAGGGATTCGAACTCGCTATCTAACGCTTTCTGCTCATTGGCAGGAGACTTACCACCGGAACTACACCTCTAACCATGTTCCAATTTTAAAAACAAAACACTGGAAAAAATCCCAGAACATATGATCACAAAGAACACACCTAGGGCCCAGTGGACCTGTGCGAGGAGACTCGCCCCATCTCAGGCCGGCTGGTGTGCTGCTGCACTTGGCCTGCGAAAGTAGATTTCCACCACTCATGGCCATGCCAGCCTCTCTGGACACACCACTTCGTGGCCACTTCTGGGAAAGCACTGCAGTATTCCCAGGGGGCACGAGTAGGAGTATGTGTGATATTTTAGTGCATCATAAGTCTCCCACTATTAAAAGTCTATGTGTTTCTGGATAACTTTAATAAATTACTTTTGTGTAGTAAAAGACACATCATTTCTGGCCAAAAGCTCAACTAAAAAGCGGCTTGAACACTGTATCTATGAACTGAGCCTATTTAGCTACACTGGCAATCAGCTAACCCCAAGGAACAGCGGGCCCTCAGGTGTGTGCCAGGACTGTGTAAGCCAGGCTGCCTAGAACTCCAAGGAGGCCAGCAGAGACAATCACACACAAGTGTGAGACAGCTTTGTACTCCTGCTACTTACTGAAGTCTTCGTTTCTTTAAAAAAGACTAAACCGAACCATAAACTTCTACATGTTAAACTTTTCTTTTTACGTGCTCTTGCCTAGTCATGCTATCTGATGGTCTGCCCCAGAGTGCCATTTAGACTGGGCCTCCCAAGGATACACTGTGGGGTTGAAGTTCTTCAGGATGAAGAAGGAGGCCACGATGACCAGGACCAGGAACAGAGTGTTGTTATAGAAGATGGAAAAGGTGGTCGCTTCGTAGTCAGCAACCTCGTTCTTCTTCCACAGGATTCTGGAGACACACAAACGGGCAAACAAGTTGGCAAATACTGAATGGCTCCCATTCGTTTTAAGGTAAAGTTGTAAAGTTCTCAAAGGTACTCAGTCAGAACTACCCCTCCATTTCTAAACACCCAGGGCACCAGGACCATGGGAAGGGACTGCTTGGTTAACTACATGGCTTGAACACATGGGCAGTTGAACTAGCCTTTGTCCAGGCCCTTGCCTATCACCTAAAACTGGATGTCACTGGTCACAACCCAGGGGCAGGCTTCCCGGCAGTCTCTGGACTTGAGCTACAGACCATGGAATACAGCTGTGAGAGACAAAACAAGCACTATTCTCACAGAAACAGACTCCTTGAGCCATCTCTACTTAACCCAAACAAAGAACTTACCCTATCACTACGTGAATGCTTTTAACTTGTTTTCTTTTATTCTGTTTTACTTGTTCTGATATTTTATCTTATTAGTCTGCTAGTATTTTATTAGCCAAGTGAGAGGAAATTCTGACTCAAACAGACTGTATACCTCCTGGGTAATTAACACTGTGAAGCAATTTTGGAAGAGTTGACCATGAGACACTAGTCGGGTGTGAACAAGTGAGAGGATCCCAGAGGAACTGACTGAGTGGGCTGAAACCATTTCTTAATGGAAACAGAAAAAATATAAACGATTGCAACACACACCTCAGGATAACTACTGTCTTATGAAAGATTCACATTTGTGTATCTGAGCTATAGGGAAAATATATTGGTCTTACTGGAAGTTTTTATTACAAAGGTCAAAAGTCACAGTGTAGGGGATACACCCTCCCCAAAGATAGCTTTCCTTGGGTCATATGATATAACCTCTCCATGCCATCCTAAGGACACATTTCATAGATCAGATGTTCTAATCCAAAGACAACGCTTTGGCTGTCCAGGCTAAATCCTCTGTGCACACGCTTTGCAGCTGAGTACCTGCGCCACACCTCTTTGGTTCTGTGGACGTACATCAAGACATTCCGCCAAGTTTCCTCCACACATAGGGAAAGGAGGGATATTACTTCAGAGTAGCCATCAATGAGAAAACCCCTCAGATGTCAAGCAAGTTTCCATGTAAATTTCAAAATGCATGTACCTTGAAACTTGAGGTAATAAATGTTACCCACTAGGACATGTGTCAGGGCAAATAAACCCAGCAAGATGCACATCCCAACCCAGCTCCATGCTGGAAAACACTGAAGGCATCTACTGTAACTCTGCACAAGCCAAGGAAGAGGGGTTGCTTCAGCAAGCAAGCTCCCAGCACTGCTCTCCTTGGCTGACTCAGTCGCTTATGCCAGACAGAGCACGTCTCCCTCCCTAACCGCCTCTCTACTGATGAAAGACTTCCCCTCCATCCTCACCCTGCAGATTCATCATCCACCCATGCGCTACCATCGTGAAAACATTTAAACTGGCTTAAAAAAAAAAAAAAACCTAACTTGAAAGAATATTTCCCAAAGAGTCATCTTCAAGAGTGTTTCCTAAAACAAGAAAATGTTCGTTCCAAACAGCAATTGTTGTAACTGGGTAATAAAAGACAACATCATCAGTAAATCAAGAACACTCATACCTGGAACACATGCTGAATCTTCGTCTTGCCTGCCCTTGGACAAACAAACATCCTGAATCACTTTCAAAGCAGCATATCTCAAATAATTATAAACGAGGCTTTGAGAGCTACTAAGAAGTTTGATGAGCTTTCTCATAGATCAAATCTCTTAGAAGCAATCTATCCTCCAAGAGGCTCCAGTGCAGTGATCAGAGACAATCACAACTACAGAACTGAGAAAAAGTGTCTGCTGTGTCTGCTGTGGCCCTGCTGTGTCTGCCATGTCAGCCATGTCTGTGGTGGCTCTGCTGTATCCACTATGATCCTGTTGCTCTCTTGGGTTTTTTTTTTTTTCATGTTATTAGAATGATTGTAAAAATTTTCAATTTTAAGTAGTTGTACCAAGGAACTTCAACTCAACAAGTCAGATTATGAGTACAACGCATCTTGATTACTGTGGCTTTTCTAAGAGAATTATTAAGAGCACCAATTTCTACTGATAAGAATATGTCATCATCATCGCCAGTCTGCATGTTACACATCCACGAAACTTCTCTCAGATAACCCTATGCTTAAATACCTGCTCCAGCAAATGGCCCAAGTTTCATTCCCAATTCCAACTCTGACTCACTGCAATGACTACCTGAAAACCACACTGATGAAGATTCAGAGCTCATCCAGGGGAAAAGACAAATGCCAGACACATGGGTCGAGGATCAGTACTCCGCTCACCACCCAAACATCAAGTAACTGTAACAAGCACTGTCCGATTCCAGTACTATGTATGATATGCACCCCAACTTCAGGAACTTTGCCCTAAACAAAAGAATTCGACAGAACACCTAGAAACATGTTTTCCTCCCTCATCTCTGTTCCTATGCAACAGTGTGCCATCAGAAAGTTATGTGGCCGAAGTCTGTGGCTCACGCCTCTTAATTCTAGCTACTGAAACTGAAATCTGAGGACCTCAGCTATAAGACTCTAACTAACCACCAAAAAGCTGGAAGTGGAGCTGTGGCTCAAGTATAGAGTGCCAGCTTTGAGCAAAAAAGCTAAGGGAAATGCCTAGGTGTGAGTTCAAGCCTCAGTACAAAGACACAGAGAAAGCAGTGGAGCCAGACCTCACTACAGCTGCTCCTTGTAGAAAAGCCTCGTCATGGCTTTACTTTTCTGTCTTTATGGCTTTATAAAGGATCCACAGAAGACCATCATATATTATTAATGCTTCGGTGCCTTTCCAAAACCACTATGGAAGGCACTGTTCATTAAGTTACTCCATGTCCCATAAGTAAGGACCCACCAGATAAAGTCCTTCCAAGACTTGATGCTAGCAAAGCGTCTCTGCAGAAGGGCTGGCATGCACTGTAGCTCCTCAGACACAGCAGCCATGGGGCCTCAGAGGCTTCCCCAGACACAAGAAGGCTCAGAGGCAAGCTTAGCACTCCAAAGTTCTTTTGTCTTTAAATGGCTTTTGATCTTTGCTTTAATATTGCACGTTCCCTCAAAGACTTTCTGAAACACAGTATGGTAAACATTTTGTCCTACAAAGCAACTTGCTGATACTAAAACTTAAGATCCGTGAAAAAAACAAAACTCACGACTCTATTAAACCATCTGGCAACTCTTAAGCACCAATTTGCTCAATTATTCAGGGACTTAGGCAACTCAAATAGTTGGACTGTTTAATATGCATTCTAAAAGCAGCTGGCAGGAAAATTAGAAGGAAGCCTAACAGACAGACACGACTCAGACAAGAGAAGAAAAATCCAGTTCCTCTCGCTTCCCAACCAGCATGCAGTTTCCCCAGAACTGGCCCCAGGTAGAAGAGGTCAGAACTACCAACCTGGGTACATCGGGACCAGAGCTAGCGCCCCTAGAAATGCTAACACACACAGCAACATAAACCCTTCAATTCAGAAAGGTTAGATGACATGATCAGGATCACTCAGGTGCCAGTAACAAAACTCTGTGGTCTCTTAAATTCTAAGGGTAGCCTGGGCTACAAGCTCTCACATCAGCCTGCCAGTGCTAATCTACAACCCTGACAAGTCATCACAGCTTTCATATTTCCTCAGGGTGAAAAGGCGCTGACGACACGCACCTCTTCTTCAGAATAGAGCAACTATATGTGGGTCAGTGAAATTCAAACTGTCAGCTCTCACTCTTCCCAGTGCTGCTCTTTTACAACGGCAAGGTTTGCCTCCAGCTCCATCATCCAGACTGTCTGAGCCACCATCAGAAATGAATTTTCTCCCAGTCACAACCACCCCTCTCCCAACTGCTGGAGTCAAACCTCTCATCTTTCTCCTTTCGAGACATCTTTCTGTTGTCAGCTTCGGAAAGTTTTCGAGTCACTTCTTTGGAAACTGCATCCTCCCTCTTCTGGGCTACTCTGGAAGGAAGAACACAGAGATGAGTTTTCACATGCTCCAGGTGAACATAACGCTCCCAGAACATTCTGCACTTGAGATCTCCTATCAGTAGCTGAATGGTGCTTTACATTTCAAGAACATAAGCTGAACAGAAAGTTCCAAGTTTATTACATTGTGCTGGCTCAAAAGAAACAGTTCAAGAACCTTCAAGATGTGGTTTATTAGCTACTGAACTCCCAACATGTGGTTTATTAGTTCTTTGCTTTCATTTCTGCCTGGAAGGGAAAATTTTGCAAAGATTAGGTACTTAATATGAATATAAAAGTCAAATGCTATTAGTACAACTTAATTATGCATCATTCCAACTGCATTTTATTTTCACAAGGTTCATAAGACATCAGTTAAATGATACATCATTTCAATTCTGGGTAAATTAGAGCAAAAACTTGACTTAATAAACAAAGAGGAAAAAAGCAACTATAGTATCTTAAAATTATGCTTTTAACTCTACTCCAAAGGACAACTGCATTTAAGAGAAATAATACACTAGGTCAGGGGCTGCCCACTCCATGTTTAGTGAAATTGGCCACAGCTTCAAAGGTGCACCAAAATTAACATGGAGTTGGCAGAAAAGATCCGAAGAACTACTCAACAACTACAACCAACTAGTCGACTATTAACTACAGAAGAAACAATCATGACCAGCAAGTAAAATTTAACAGATTATTTAATTTCTTGAAAATAGTTTAGCAAGCATTGTTTAAATCATGCCACCTTTTAAAAAGAATTTATAAAGGCTCTTACTCCACACACAAGCATAGTCACATGCCCAGCACTGTGGGTAACATGTGACACACGTGATAATACGTCGCCCTCCCCACCCTCTGAAGTACCATCAGAACTGCCTTCACAGTCTGCACAGGCAGACCAGCCCTAGGACCAGGCCACACATTCAAGAGGAGCAGTCTGGATCTAGACTGTGGCCACTGAAGCACCTTCCCTCTACCATTCAGCAGGAAGACACCTAGCACCCCCTGGGTCTTTCAGCCTTAACTATCAAGAAAATCTCGAAGAACTATGATGTCAGACAAGAGCTTCTAAACTGCCCAGGGCTGGTGGTTCATACCTGGCTGCTCAGGAAACAGAGACCTGAGGTTAGTCAACCCAAACAACCTCTTACCTCCAACTAACCAGCAAAATGCCAGAAGCAGAGCTGTGGCTCAAGTGGTTTCAACCTTAAATGAAAAAGCTAAGCAAAACCACTAGGCCCTGAGTTCAAGTCCTACTAGTACTGGCAAAAGTTACTAAACCAAACCTAGAAAAAAAAAAATTCTACTCAGTCTGTTAAGCTAGTAAAGCACTGAATATTCACTTAAATTTCACTTACTATTGTTACAAAGAATAGCAAAATGAACAGCAGCTGTCCTCAAAGAAACTGGCAGATGGAATCCAAAGGTAAAAAGAACATGACATTTGATTCTGAAGAATCAAAATGAAAAGGGCTTGCAACACAAGTTACGATGCTAAGAACCAAAGGGACTGGGTTCCGTGGCGGCACACACAAGAAAGCCATCGACAGCAGCAGAGGCTCAGATGGGTGACATCTTGGAACATCCTCTAGTAAAAGGACTGATGACAGAAAGCAAACAGACACAGATGTCCTAAGTGCCCTGCCCTGCTACCAGAAGGGCAGTCATGAAACCTGAGCACCACGTCCAGAGGCATCAGGAGCCACCGAGGCCATTTATGGCCATGTCTAACAATGAAGCCAAGTTAACTGAGACCATCTCAGTGTGCTGAGCCTAACAGAGACAGCAAAGCCAACGAACAATCAACCTTAGCAAAGATTTCTCTGGAAAGGTGTCCTGGCCTTGAGACAAGAGATGTGCAAACCAGAAGGAAAGGAAGGAGGAAAGAGGAGGGAGGGAGAGAAGGGGGAAGGGGAGGGGGAGAGAAGGAAGGAAAGAAGGAAGGAAGGAAGGAAGCAAGCAAGCAAGCAAGCTTGCTTATCCTAAATGAGGGTATCTGGGCCATAAGACGCTTCAAAGGACTCAAAGGCTGATTCGGAAGAACTGAGGCCCAATTCTGAAAGATGAGGCCCCCAGGCAAGAAGCAGAAGACTTGACTTCAGGAGCCCAGAAGACACTGGATTTAATATATTAGAAAAAAGTCAGTGATGAACTAAGATGAACTAAGAGAAAAACAATAAAAATGTCCCATGAGTATGCATACTGTGTATCCCATAAAACAAGGCTAAAACCAGGGTGAATGAGATCACTACAAGGCTCAATCTCAATCAATTCAGCAATCCTAACTAGAGGTTGAGACCAGCAGATCCCAGTTCAAGGTCAGCCCAGGCAAGAGCTATATGAGACTCCATTCTAATCAATGGCTGTGCAATGGTGTGTGCCTGTCATCTCAGGGATAAGAGAAAGCATGAATAGGAGGCCCACAATCCAGGCAGCTCAAGCAAAAAGCAAGCCTCTATCTCAAAAAAGTAACAAAGCAAGTACGGTGGAGTGGCTCAAGTGGTAGAGCACCTGCCTAGAAAAGGCAGGGCCTGAATTCAAACCCCAGCAGCACCAAAAGACCCATGGGAATTGCCTAATGGTTCCATGTTTTGTAGAGTGAGCAGTGGGGAGCAGGGGGGACCCCTCCACATGCCAGAAGGAGCTGGCATAACTGAGGCCAAAACAAGTGTCCAAACTAGTATGGATACTAGGGAAATGAAGCCTACGCATAGAAGAAACCCATTGGCACTCTACGTCTCAGCAAAAGGCCAATTCCCTGAGCAATTCAAAGATATGCAACACTGAAAGTCCTACTGAGGAAACAAAGATATTCTGCTACCTCAGAAGTAACAATGTAAAAGTAACACTGAAAAAGTCAATTGAAAAAGATTGTCAAATACCAGTGGCTCACACCTGTAATCATACATTCTCAGGAGGCTGAGATCTGAGGATCACAGTTCAAAGCCAGCCCCAGCAGAGCGTCCTCATGAAACTCTTATCTCCAATTAACCACTTTAAAAACTGAAGTGGAGCTGGATACTGGTGGTTCATGCCTGTAATCCTAGCTACTCAGGAGGCTGTGATCTGAGGATCATGGTTCAAAGTCAGCCCAGACAGGAAAAGTCCGTGAGACTCTTAACTCCGATAAACCATTCAGAAAACCTGAAGTGGCACTGTGGCTCAAGTGGTAGAACGCTAGCCTTGCGCTGAAGAGCGAGGGACAGTACCCAGGCCCAGAGTTCAAGCCCCACGACTGACAAAAAATAAATAAAAGGACTTAAGTGGTACTATCTCAAAGTGGTAGGGTGCTAGTCTTGAGAAGAACTCAGGACAATGCCAAGGCCCTGAGTTCAAGCCCCAGGACTGAAATAAAACAAAAAAACAAGGGGCTGGGAAGGTGGCTCAGTGGTAGAGTGCTTGCCTTGCATGCATGAGGCCCTGGGTTCGATTCCCCAGCACCACATAAGCAAAAAGAAAAAAAA